AAGGACATTATTTTGATGCCAAACAGACCCTTGATATGAATCTTGGCTTCTTAAAATATCAACATTTGCCATTTATCATTGGAAAGATAGTGTAATATCTTAGATCTACTGTTTCTTCATCTGTCAAGTGGGACAATCATATCTCCTTGTAGGTTATGATGAACATTAAATGAAATATTCTGTGTACATTTTGGTACAAAGTAAGTATTAATAAACAGAAGTTCTTATTTTCCTACCCTATTTAGAAAAATCAGAAGGAAAAGGAGATTGATTTTTCTGATTTTACTGTTAGAAATTGCTTTATGTACAATTATTTTAAAGTTTTATTTGGTAAACTATCAATAAAGATGTTAAAATAATTTCTCACTGGTTCAAAGCAATTATTTGGCATTAAAAAGTGTTTTCCACTAAAGTAGTCAGATGCGGACAAATACATTTTTTTCTTGTTCAGAACCTTAGTCAAACAATACAAAACAAATTTAGCAGAGTTACACAAAACTTATTGGCCATGAAATAATTTATAGTTTGTAAATATTTTATAAAAATATGCTGTAATCTTACAAAAAGGTATTACCTATAATTTTTCTAAATCATTAAGTCTTAGCATGTAAAATTAGTTACTCAAGCTTGAAATCTACAGCTTTTGGCTTTTTTTTTTTTATCTTATTCACTCATTTAACAAATATTTAGTGACTATTATGTCAGGCACTGTTCTAGGTTCTTGAAGTTACTCTTGAACAGCTCATATTTCAGCAGCAGGAGGGAGCGCATTTTTGTTAAGTAGCAGAGCAAGCTGAAGGGTATTGGAAGTGTGTGGATGTGGTGGTGAGGGGGAAGTAGAGAACAGTAGTAAGTAGTAAGTAGGATGATCAAAGTAGGAACCATCAAGGACTGACCTGTGAACAAAGACTTGAAAGGGGTAAACCTGGTTTGTCATACAAATCAGGGAAGAGCATTCCACCAGAAAGAAGGGTTGGTGCAAAGGCCCCAACATAAGATTGCACCTGGAATGTCTGAGAAAGACCAGCATGGAGGCTGGTGTATTGGGAGCAGAGGGAGCTAGTGGGAAAGTGGGGAGGGAAGCCAGTGCGAAATTTTGAAGTCATGGTCTGATTTCTCTTTCAAGAGTCAGTTTGGCTGATGTGTTGAGAATAAACTCCAGGAGAAGGACAAAAGTAAATGTCCGGCTACCAGTTAAAATCTGTTGTGGGAATCCAAGTAAAAGGTGATATTGGCTCAGAACAGCATGGCGATAGTGGAGGTGAGGAATGGTCAGATTTGGTGCATGATTTGAAAGTAGAACCAATCTGGTGTATTGGACAGACACAGGTGTGAAAGAAAAGAGGAGCCAAGTCTAAAGGTTTTAGCCTGAACAGATAGAGAAATGTATTTCAATTTAGCCAAGATGGAGGTGGCTGCTGGAAGATTTGAGGGTGGGAGAAGGGTTAGGGGGTATGGGAAAGATGAAGAATTCCATTTTGGAAATACTGATTTTGAGAGGTCCATTAGAAATTCAAATGAAAATATTGAGGAGGCTGTTGGATGTCTGGAGTTATGTGGGGAACGAAGTGGAGATAGGACTTTTGCATGTAATTTAGGTACTTTTGGCTAATGACATGTGGAAGAGGGGCTATAAGCACTGAATCTGAGATTTAGAAGTGGCCGGCTCTAACGTCCATGAGCTCTCTTCTTGTCTAAGTATTTTCTTTTTTCTATGTATTTTTTTTTCTTTTTCTTTTTCTTTTCTTTTTCTTTTTTCTATGTATTTTTAATCAGTGGGCAACAATCAGAAGATTGTGTATTTAAAAGAATGTTTCATTCTGTTAACCTTATTATGTTGCTTTAGCTGCCTCTTATGACAAATGCAGACTAGCACAATAACATTTGGGGAGTAAGCTCTTCTCTTAGCACTAATAGGATGTAATTGTTGTCTCCATTGATGATAGGAGAAATTCGGTAAAATTCTAAAACCAAAGGATTGAGAACAGAAATGTAAACCTGTCACAATCTATTTGGCAACTTTAGTGCACAGAAACTAGTTTCCTGGCATTAATCATGAAAGAGAAAACAATTTTGATAAAGTTCAAGTTGAGATAAGGTTTCATAAAATAGTAGGATTTTTTATTTTTTATATTTTTGCTGGTGGGGGTGCTAGTGATTGCAGGCACCAAAATGGAAAGTCAAAAGAAAGAAAGTAATTATGCAAATTGTAATTTTTGGGAGGGCTTTAGGATTTTTAATTTACATACTGTATAGGAAGCACACTTAGTTCCTGTTTGGTGAGATGAAAGCCTTACTATAGCCTCATTGGCAGGCTCGAGCAATACTTGTTTCTCCTGTGTGTAAGTGCACGGAAGAGTAGAAGTGACTGAGTGGGTAGTTGGCAGCCATTCATTGCATTGATTGCAGTCATTCATAAAACCCTGAAGCGCTGAGGGCGGAGACTGGAGCCTTCCCTTGAGGTGGTAGCTGAATGTCTCATTTGCATAAATCTTCCTTGATGCTTGAGTGATGAGGGAATGTTCACATGCAGTTTGAAGACTGGTAAGAGTCCATGTCTGATAAATCCCCGAGTAATTAAAGTCTTTGTAAAGAGTAAGAGGTTAACATCCTTGAACTCCTAGTCTGGGAAGTCAGCATTGTGGCATTGTTTGTGGCCTCCTTCTGTCTGGCAGAATGAATAAATCATATGTAGAGAAAGATCCCTAATGTCCACACTTACTGAAATATCATAGTTGTGTTTCTTAGAGTATGTGAGGTCTATCTTATTATAATAACTTTAATGCACGGGAGATACTTGAAAAGTACTGGAAGCTAAACAATTTCTATACATTAGAACTGTCAAAACTATTACATTTTATCCCTCCAAACTGTGATATGCCAGACACAACAATCAATTTTCATTTTAGAGATGTGTTAATCTACTCAGGCTAACAAAAACCTTATGAGTATATTATGTCTCTTTATGTGTCTTTGTATCTATCTGAGTATAGGGCTTTCTTATATCATGAAAAATTTCAGCTAAAAATAACTCAAATTAGAAAACATAGGAATATATATTAGAATACAAATATATATATTAGCATAATTTAGAGCCCCCTTAAATTGGTTGAATAATTAGCAACTTTGAACAGATAGTTTTCCCCCTAAAAACTCAGATTCAGTAGTTGGCCATATCATAGTTTTGTGGTCAGGATATATGTTAGTATGAAAAATATATGTTGTCCTGCTTTTAAAAAAATTCACTTAAGAGCATATTTAAGGAAAACTAATTAAGTAGCAGATTTATTTCAAAGCTTTGTTATTAAATACCTGAAACTTTAGGAGAAAAAAAAAGAAATGAACTAAGAAGGTTGCATATGGTTTCTCACAGATACAGTTCTTGAAAATTTTTTCTAAAGTGGGTGATATTTCCGATATTTTCACAAACCAGTACATGTAGATTAAACATGCTGTATGTGCTATTTTTAGTAGGGTGAGAATTGCTAAAGATTTTCCAGTGCTATGAAATTTAACTTCCTGGGCATTGTACTCTGTATAAGTTAGATTTAAAATTGCACAGAGTTCAGAAATTCTAGGATATTACTTCTCCCTAACAACTGCTACCTTACATGTTCTCTTAACCCTGCAGCCTAGGTGGCCATCTCTTCCCATGAACCTGGAATGAAACTGAGGTCCTTGTGGTTCCTGAGGGATTGACCATTCCCTTAAGAGTTTAGCATTAGCACTTGACAAGTCACTTTTTTTTTTTACCTTGCCCCAGAAGGGAGATGTTGAGGCTTTGAAATGGCACTGTTTTCTTTTTTTTTGTCACGTCGTTACATATCAGTTTTTAAGTCTTACTTGACCTTGTTTGGAATGAGCAGTGTGTATGTGTGCACATTTCTGTGCGTTGTGTCCCTGTGTCCCTGTATCATTCTTTCAGAAGTGGAGAATTTAGCCATGCAGCTTTTAGCTCTGGGAAAAGTTGATCTGCCATTACCACACCAAGAAGCCACTTCTGGAATAACACGACTGGCCTTAAGTATAAGTAGTGTAGTAAAACCTCCAAGAAAACTCCATGGAAGTTTAAGAACCAGATTTATGTTTGAGAATCCTGGGTCCCTTAGCAAAGTGTAAGATGTGCGGGTCTCAGCTTTATAACCAAGGCTTCCCTATATAAAGCAATGTTCGTTTTTAAGCTTTTGAGGCGAGACGAGTATTTGAGCTATCTAGGTACAGGCTCAGATGGGGTGTTTTCTGGTTTCTGCCAGGGAATCTCTCTGATGGTCTGTAAGCCCTCTTGACATGAGGGTCAGAGTGTGTCTCCTGCTGCCCTTTGCAGCTCTGTTACATCGTCTACCCTCTGCATTTGTTTATCCTGTGATGGAGGACTTAAGACACAAAGACCTTGTACTACTTTCTCACATTGTGCATATACCTTCTCTATTTATTTTACACACACAGACACACTCATACTGTATATATGAATATTTTCTTCTAACTCTTTCCTTAGTTTGAATGGGATTTTGAACCTGAGGCTGTCTAGAGGCCTCTCAGGTCTCTTTCCACATTAAGAGGAAAGACCTGTGTTGTGATGAATGGTATGAGACAGGAGTCTTAGTAAAATAGCCAAAGCTACAGAAAATCCTGCTCATCTTTTAACATATTAACACAACAGCTGTTCCTATTTTTAAAGCTTTCAGATGTCTTCATATGGTGAGGCCATAGCTTTCAGTGGCCTCTCTTCTATGGGGAGAGCTGCTGACCATCTTTTTATTGGTGCTAAAAGAAAAGTCAAATACAGAGGCTAGCACAGATTTTATTTGGGTATAATTGAGCTCTTGGAAGCCCGAGTCAAAGATTTCCAGCACTAAGGGCTTTTCCAGGGCCTCAGGTTATTTAAGGGGCTTGCTAAGATTTCCCCCTAGACTGTGTTTTTAGTACCGTGTTTAATTTCCAGATTTGTTCTACCCTTTTTATAATTAATAGTGCGTTGTGCTGTCTATCATGCGCCCCAGGTGTGTTGTCAGGGACATGGCGAAGCCTGCTGCCTGCAAAACACCAAGAAATGCTGAAAACCAGCCCCACCAACCTTCACCGTGAGTATGGCATTGGTTTTATTGACTGAAAATGTCCTCTCTTACACAGACCTCTGGTTACAGGATTTATTAATTCACACTGCATGTGGGCATAGATATTCTGGCTACTCTGTTGTATGTGTAATAAAAAGGCTACTATTGAGTTAGATAAATTTATCTGCAAACGTGAACTCTGTGTTAAGTATCTTTGTTAAGTGATGTTTCTAATGCCACATTAGAAGCATAAAACTTGAGAAAACAGACACATTCTGGGAGGCCTAGGGTGGCAGAAATTCTATACCTTTTGGATGTGGAATGCATGTGGACTAGAAACTAAGACTCTGGGAAAGCCGGAGGCAAGGGGCAGATGGGGTGGCACGCGTGAAAAAGGGAAATGCATAGGCAGTCCATTGCCCACCTTCACACCGTTGTTTAAAGGTAATGGGCAATCTGAAAGAGCGGATTGCCCAACCAGTTTTATCTTTAAAATTGCAATCTCAAGTGCGGATACTGCTGAAGAGTTAAGTGACCAGCTGAAGAAGGAAGTAGAGAAGAAGCCAAATAAGGAAACTGGGTTATGAATGCAGATTTTGATGTGATCAAATGTAAAGAGCTTTAAAATCCTGCAGATTAGCATGATGTATTCAGTCTTTTGAGAAGAATTATGGTCCTGGTAGGAAAAATTAAACCTGCCCTTAAAATGTCTCAGCAGTAGCAATACTCAACATAATTACCATAACCAAGTAGTTATAACTAGGGAAATGCCTCCTTCCAAGGTTTTTAGCAAAAGCTTTTGAAGAAATGTGTCTTAAAAGTTACTTTTAAGTAGATTTTTTAGCTATCTGAAAGTTCATTGAAACAAGACCAAAATAAAGGGATAAAATTGTAAAAAAAAACCCAAAAAACTATGAGAAGTAAATTTTTGTAATACTTTTGCTATGACAACGAATTTTTATTAACATTAGCAAAGACCTAAATTAAATAAAGATTTAAATGCTTATTTTTTGTATATTACATATAGTCACAAATAGCTTAAAATTATTTATACTTTAGGATATAACATTTTGTTAAATAAATTTCAAGAGGCTTATTGGTGGGTTGTAGATTTTATCTCAGAAAGTATACTTGAATATCATTCTACATTTTAATCAGTACTTTTTAAGGAATTGAAATAAATTTGATTCAATCCTAGTAAAAATGATTGATGATCACATTGGAAAAAAATAAAAGCTTAAAGTACTCTTAATCATGTTGCCATTTTTTCTTCTACAAATGTTCTTACTATAAAGCCATCTTCCTGATGATGGAAAACTTGTGATCCTCACTTTCTACCTTATACTTCAGGTTGCAGAAAATATTTTTCTTATATTAGGATTCAAGCAATTTCTGGGAAAGCATTTTGAGGAATTCACATTTATTTAAAAATATTTTCCACTTATTGAGGTTTCATTTAAATTGGTCCCACTCATTCAAAAACCATTTGATATCCCTCCCAACAATATTTTAGATTTTTTTCCTTATTTTGATTTTATTTTCCATAGACTTATAGTTGTGGAAATCCATTGTAACTTACCTTGTACTTAGTGAAATTTTCCTGGTGGCCCCTCTGGGCCTAGTTGCTGAGCATAAATAGTCTCTTTGGGCTCTCTTTTCTACAATCCCCTTCCTCACGCTATACTTTTCTAACTAAAATAGTACACCTCTCTTATGTGACTTGAAGAATTTAAAATTTGCAACTCATTCCTTATTTCTACTGATTCTCTTTAGACAGTGGTATGTGTCACATATGTGCCTTTCTAGGTTGATAGGAGAGGACAGCAATAAATTGAGTGTAAAGGTGATTAAGCATGGGCTCAAGCTTGTAGATCAGTGTTTTTAAATATATAATTCATAATCTTTTAGTGAGTCTGAAAATCAGTAGAGGCTAGTTTTTTGTTTATTTTTAATGGAATAGATGAGGAAATAAAAATGCATTTCAGATTGGTATTGGTAAGATAAATTTAGATCTCTTTATATGATAACTGGGTCAAAATATAAATAAATACTATATTTATTTACAAGGTTTGGGCAATGGGTTTTAATCAGGAGAGTGGCTTAGTCAGATATTTATTCTATTTATATGTCAAGTATGTTTTACTTTGACAGAGGTGGGGAAAATGGCATATGAATGTGATGTGGGAAAAACTAGAGATAAACAAATCAGTTAATAGACTGTTGTAATAGTCCAAAGAAATATGATAAGGCCTTGGCCTAGAGGAGTAGCAGAGAGTGAAGCAAGCATTTCAAGAGTTGAGTGAGAAGGCAAAAGGGCAGTGGGTGATTGTCAGCTCCTTATGGGTTTTAAGGAAAATGTTTGGGGGATTATCATATCATTGGTTTGGGTGATTAAGTATCATTACCAGAGAGAATAAAAGAATCAAACCAGGCCCAGGGGTGGGTGAGCGGTGAGTAGTTCAGATTTTGACATGATGATGTTGTGGTACCTGTGCTATATCCGAGGGTGGGTATACTTCCTAGAAGTAGTTGGGGATATAAAACTGAAGCACTCAGTTAACTGGGAAAGTAGATTCTGTCACCAATGGATACATAATTAGAAAAAATAAATACCAGAGGGAGTCCTAGCTAAAAATAATGCTTAAGGATGGGTAAAGGAAGAGGACCCCCAAACTCAAATGAGAACTAAAACTTAAACTCTGGTTCTTGGACAACAAGGGGAAAACCCCAATAGTATCAAGTGAAGCAGAAAATCAGTCAACAACTTGAGAGGTTAAAAATGTCTTCTGGGTTTGGCCAAATAGAAATCAAGGGGGGCATTTGTCATAGCAGTTTTAATATACAGGGGTGAGCAAAACTAGGTTTACAGGTATAACACACATAAAGAATATAATAATTAATAATAATACAAGAATAAACTCTGTTTCACATACTCACAACTGCAAACCTACTTCTGTATAAGTGGGTGGAAATACTCTATTTCTGTGAGTGTGAGGAGGAAATGATAAGTTAGGAAAAGTAGACTGGGATTGCACATGCCTTTTTCAAAAACAATTGACTGAGTAGGGAAAGAGAGAGTGGTAAGTAGACAGGAAGTAGGGGGACTGTACTTGTGTTACTTGGTACATTCTATTTTGCAAGTTTAGATTGATGGATAAACATGTCAATATAATTTATATTTTTGATGACTGTATTTAATACATCCAAAGATTATTTTTTAGTTATTATTAAAATGTCATTCAGCCATATTTTAAACATGCTGCATATGTTGTCATCACTTAAAGTAATCTAATCTAATAAAAGAGAAACATGGTAACTGGCGTACGACCGCTACCCTTCCCATTGGCTAATCAGGGAGATATGCAAATTAACTGTCAGCCAAGATGGCGTCCGGCAGCCAGGCAGCTTGAAACTAACATGAGGCTTGCTTGCTTCAGTGACGGAGGAAACCAACGTTCCCCACCTGCCGCTGCAGGCCTCTGAGCCTGCAGTTTAAAAAACATTGTAACGAATATAGAAGGTAAACAAAACCCCAGAAACCAGCTTTCAGCGAGCCCGGGATCTCAGAGCTGGAGTCAGAGGTGGAGTTATACATTGTTTCAATTACCTACTTTCAGCAGCGGAGGCCTAAGAGCTGGAGCCTCAGAGCTAAAGCTGGCCCAGAATTAAAAAAGAAAAAAGAAAAAAAAAGGAGTGGTTGGGAGCTTCCGTCACCCGCCAGCCTGAAAACAGCCCTCAGCCCCTCACCCAGACTGGCCAGGCACCCCAGTGGGGACTCCCACCCTGAAGTGTGTGTGACCAGCTGCAAACAGCCCTCAGCCCCTCACTCAGGCTGGCCAGGCACCCCAGTGGGGACCCCCACCCTGATCCAGGACACCCTTCAGGGCAAACCAGCCAGCCCCACCCATGCACCAGGCCTCTACCCTATATACTAAAAGGGTAATATGCCTCCCAGCACCAGGATCAGCAGAGCCGAGAGGCCTCCCGGCACCGGGATCAGCGTGACGGGGCAGCGCCCAAACCCCCTGATCGCCCTGCGGCTCTGTGTGTGACAGGGGGTGGGGCCACAACCTCCCTATCCGCCCTGCTTTGTTCGTGACAGGGGAAGGCACCCCAACCTCCTGATCAGCCCTGCTCTGTGCCTGATACGGGGGAGCTCCCCAACCTCTGATCGCCCTGCGGCTCTGTGCGTGACAGGGGGCAGAGCCCCAACCCCCAGATTGGCCCTGCTCTGTGCGTGACAGGGGGTGGCGCTGCAACCTCCCCATCGACCCTGCCTTGAGTGTGACAGGGGGCAGTGCCCCAACCCCCCAATCGGCCCTACCCTGAGCGTGACTGGGGGTGGCATCGCAACCTCCCAATCCGCCCTGCTCTGTGCATGACAGAGGGCAGCGCCCCAACTCCCCAATCGGCCCTGCTCTGAGCCCGACCAGGGGCTGCACCTAGGGATTGGGCCTGCCCTCTGCCACTCGGGAGCAGGCCTAAGCCAGTAGGTCGTTATCTCCCGAGAAGTCCCAGACTGCGAGAGGGCACAGGCCAGACTGAGGGACCCCTCCTTCCCCCCGAGTGCACAAATTTTTGTGCACTGGGCCTCTAGTAAATATATAAAAAAATATTAGTGGAGTTGAACAAATTGAGTCTTATGCCTGGTATTCCTCAGGTATACTATGCATAGATAAATAAGATAGAATTCCCATATTAAGAATTCCCTCTCAAATTGAGGACAACAGTTATATAATCAAATAAATTATAATTCTATATGATAAGTACAACCATAGAAGTATATTAAAAAAAGAGAAAACGGTTTATTCTGTTTGAGGTTGGTGTGGTCAGGGAAGTATTCATAGACCCGTCAGTAGTTAATATGAAATTTGAAGGATGAATAGTTCAGGAAGTAGGCAGGTTTGGGGTGCAGGGTTCCAGAAGGAGAAAACAGTTGCCCCGAGTCCCAAAATATCAGGTTGTGCTGGTGTAATGTAAAGTGTGTACTCAAGGCTGGAACATATGAGTGTGTCTGCCTGTGTGTG